GCTAACTCCACAATAGTCTCCTTTAATATTGGAAAACATTTACCAAGTTATCTATTAACATTTAAAGAGCTTAGCATGGTAAAAACGACTGAGAAACTGTTACTGAAAATGTTAACATCAGGAAGCCATAAGAAAAAAAACAAGTTAAAAAACTTTTTTGGCAGATTTTCAGTAAATTTGACTTAGTACTTTTTATTTTAATAAAAACATCAAATGAAGCAATCACCATTTAAAAGCTGTAATGCATTACATTGCAGTTTTAATTTAACAAATGCATTCTGATTTCCATAAATAAATAGATACAAACACAAAAATCATGTCTAACAGGCAAAACCAATTTGCACTAGAGCTGCACAATACATTGAACTGATGAAACCTCATGGAGATTTTCCGAGCAATCTTTGGAGCATCAGGAAAGGACTTCATTAGTCAAGCAGAACCTCTTTATGACCTACATGTTCGTTTATTTTCATTTTCCAAGACAACAGCTCGCTTCACTGACCCCGCGACAGAAAACTTGCATTATTTTTCTTACCTCTTCAAACTGGTCTCCAACTGTTCACTCGCTAGTTTGTTTTCCAGGCTTAGACTGACAAGGGAGTGGACGGTTTCCTCATACGCCTGCAGAAGAGTTGTGTTTGCAGAGGAGTGAATGACCTGGTAAAGGTCAGCCAGCTGCTCTCTGAGACTGTAAGGGGTAGAACAAAAACTTACAAACAGCAATGAGAAGGAAACAGCAACCAAACACCCAAAAGAAATGAGAGGCTGACGAACAACAAGTGATATGTAGATGAATAACCTCTTTTAAATGTGTAATTGGGTCCTAACCCAAATTTTCACTTCTAATTGTTACTAAGCGTGTCTCATTAGAAGTCAGCATTTTCAAAATGCACATCTGCTGGTCAGCCATGGCATATTTAATTGCTTGTTCAAACTTTAAGTTTATCTTTCCCAAATCAATGCAGCCTCATTGCAACATCCATGCTTTATCAATCAAATGCTTAATTGAAGTTAAATGAATTAAAAAGATAAAAGCTGATTTTATTTCAGATTATTTTCAGGAAAATTGCATGCAAGGTTTTTCCCATCCTTTCTACTTTCTACAGAAGCTATTTGGTGAAAAACGTTTGACAGTTACAAAATAAAAAAAATTGCAAAACTTAGAGGACTTTAAAATGGTAAATGGCCTGTACTTGTATAGTGCTTCACCGAGTCCACAGGACCCCAAAAGTGTTTCACACTACATTCAGTCATTCACCAAACATGGCAGCTCCCTGCAGGCTGCCATGATCGGTGCCATCGGCCCTCTAACCACCCTATGATGCAGGATAAACTCTTACCACCGCCACCACCTCTGCATTATTTTTAAAGTAACACAGATCTTCAACACTTTGGAATGGACTCATTTTGATATTTTGAAGACTGATGTTATCCCAAAGATAATAAAGAGTTGGGGCTAGAGTTTGGAACTGGTACTTTTTCATCAATATTAAGGAATTATTGACTTAATCAAGCTGATGCATCTTGCTGAAATGTTACTTGTAAGTTAGTTTTCTCTTATGTCAAGCGCACCAACTACATACTGGACCAAAGGTACTTGGTGAGATTGTGTTTTGTAGTGCACAGTAAAGAACACAATGCCATGATGGTAACAATAACCCATCATTCTGATGTTTTTGTTTAGTAGGGACAGTGAAGATGGTCAGATGGGGATAAACACAAGAAACTCTTGGAAGAAAATGTTAAAAAAAAAGACTAAAAATGATTTAGAATAGAAAAAACCCCCACAGTTTTTATTGTCCATAAAAGCAACAGTAGCAACAGATATAAACATTCACACAGTTTTGTTTTTAAGTATTAAGAGCAATATGTACATTTATAAACAAACAAGCTTAAACCCTGTTTCCAACCCAGACTTGAGACTGGGTTGGAAGTTCACCTTCAAGCCTAAACATGTAGACAAAATTAAATTAAATTAGAAAGGTTTAGAACAGAGAATAATAAAGAATAGTCATGTCACAGACCAAACATGAATCCCACTGTAAATTTGATTTCAACAGATGCTCAACAATGAATCTGAGCCTGTCAAGGAATCTTTGTCCCACAAGTTCACGCCACACTTTTTAGATTTGTATTTGTGAAATGTTAAAGCCATGTATTCTTTCTAATGTACTACTCTGATAGTAAAGTTTGTGGTTGTAGCACGATTAAAAGCGAAACAAAGTTAAAAGAATATGGATTATTCTCCAAAACATCGTCGCTAAGAAGTGCTGTAGCCACTGGTATGTAAATCCTGGTCAAAGTGAGACTCCGGTCCGGTTATTGACTTTACCTTTCAGAGAGGGTAAACTCCTCATCTATCCTGTCCACGAACTCTTCCCACGGAGTCGAGGTTGCTCCTGAGCCAAATGACGCCAAGTTGAGAGTCTCCGAAACCTCCTGAAACCTGGAGGAAAACCGGCTGTAGTCGATGTAGCCGTCCTCACAAGCTCCGAACTTATCGAACAGAGTTTGGACCTCAGCGTTCGGGACGCTGAGCTCCCGGCAGACCACTGTGAAGTCCTCATACTCGATCCTTCCGGACTTGTTTACATCGCAAGCGGAAAACAGCCTTCGAAGACTGGATGGGTTCATAGTTTCTGATAAAAGCCGCATTCAAATTAGAGCGTATGGAAATTTAGATAGGGTCACGCACCTCCCTTTGGATGTACGTACCTCTGCGGCGTCTGAGACAAATAAACGCTCTGTCCTCCTATGAGGACACGGATTGGTCCAGGTGTCGGCGTGGGCGGGCCTCCCAGCTCCTGCAGCAGAGGTTTGTTGGGCTTATGCATGGTGAGGGAAGCTAAGGTAACCTGCTGCAGATCCAGGAGAGATAAGCAAGTGCTTACGTCTGTTTGCTTTTGGTGTGTAGCGCATGGGGAGGCTTTTTATCACAAACACTTCTTTACTTCTCTATTGAAAATAATGCGTCATCCCAACACAGAAACCAATAAGAAAACTATTATTGAGATCTGATTTGCGTCAAAAAAAAAAAACTATACAATTAGAAGCGTATTAAAATTAAAAATGATAAAAGGTTGTTCCACCCTAAGCAATGGCATAATGTTGAAATGTAAAACTTAAACATTTTTAAAATATCAGTTTTGAAAAGTTCAACATTTAAGGTTTAATAAGTAAACGATACAATTTATTTAAGTCATTTTAACCATTAGTGGAATCTGGTTACTCTTTTTGGAATTATTAGAGTTAGAAAAGTTGCCTCTTGCGACGTTGATGTGAAGTGGGTTTCCTGTTCGATTAAGGTTTGAAACTTTAATTTCATATAAATTGCTTCACATTTAGTTTAAATTTAAATAACAATGATTATAATTATTTTTAAAACAACTGTTAAAATAGTTGCTTTCTGATCGCCAACACAAAGTTGAGTTTAAGTCAATAAGTCACTCAGATATATTCTAAAACCCATATTTTCTAATACACTGCTCAAAAAAAATAAAGGGAACACTCAAATAACACATCCTAGATCTGAATGAATGAAATATTCTCATTGAATACTTTGTTCTGTACAAAGTTGAATGTGCTGACAACAAAATCACACAAAAATCATCAATGGAAATCAAATTTATTAACCAATGGAGGCCTGGATTTGGAGCCACACACAGAATTAAAGTGAAATGTTGCCTTTATTTTTTTGAGCAGTATATATATCTAAAATTTAAATGACAGCAAGTACTTTCATGTAGAAAGTACTTGGAAAAATGGTGTTTCCATTCCTTTAATTAGAAATGGTACAGGCTACTGATTCAAAAGCTGGGTGGTTTAAAACAGGGAGAGTTTCTCTCATTCTCTTGTTGGTACTTGAGGAATGTTTTTGAAAAATATATATGTAACAAAGAATTGGAGCTCTGTGTCTTTTGGATCCTGTCTGACTTTTCTTTTTGATGTGCATTTATTTGCTGCCCTGACTATTTTTAGGCCCGAAAGTTTTGTCTCAGCCCTCAAGCCTTACAATGTGTATTGATTTACACCATAAAGTAATGGAAATAACTAAAATATCTAATAGAATGGCTCACTTTAGCTTCCTTTTCAAGATAAAATGGACATGTGTTAAGATGTATTTGCTTAATTTAAATCGCAATAATTGAATTTTATTAATGATAAAACTGTAGAAATTGTTTTATTTTGGCTATAAAACTTTATATAATTGTGACTCTTATGAAATATGAATTCAATTTGCAAAACCCACTTTCCATTGTAAAATATGGTTTCACTTAATTTAATACTCTGTGCACCAAAATAAGAAACTTTAAACCAATTCAAGATTAGTCATGATACATAAATTAGCTTCAAATCTTGGACAACTCAATTTTGCCTTTTCATAGCTCACGGTAATTATGAAGCAATGGAAAAAAGAAAGAAAAAACAACCTTTTTTCATCTTTATTTGAAAAATTAAAATAAAGTGCTTTTTATATACAATACAAAAACAAAACAAAACAAAAACAGTAGTGATATATGATACAAAAATACAATTCACAATACCTGTACATTGGCAGCTGAATTTACAAAATAACTTTACAAAACCTGTTTACTGGCTGTACAATGCATGTTGACAGGAGTCTGAGCAACGTGTGCTATCTAATAGAAGGCCTGACTACAGTGGTTCATTAGGAGAGAGAGCAGACGACAATACTTTTACAGTGGCATTATTAGTTTCAGCTTGTATTCAATGTACCTGCACATCTTTTTGAGTAGAATATCGCCACAATGCATTTGACTATAGCACATTTATTGTTGGTCATGGCAGTCACTTCACCAAAAGCTGCCATTTGTTTACGCTATTAACAGTCAAAGCATGAGTCTTTTACACTGCATGAGTGATTGCAGCTAGGCAGTCTCAGGAAAAAAAAAAAAAAAACACTTTTATAGGAAATGTAATACTTGAATTTTTTTTTTTTTTTTTTTTTTTTTTTTTTGAAGATGTGTTTAGGAGTTGTGTTTTAGGAAAAAAATTCAGTCCCTGGCTGAGACTGATGCCACCCAATCAGTGAACAAAACTAATAAAACACCTAACGAGCTATGTTCAATGACAGAGACAATTGTGCCACTATTACGTGATAGTACGAATCTTTTTACTGTTTTCAATTGTTTCCACATATGGCCATTTCTTTGACACCTTGCAGTGTCTCATGTAACTCTAAAGCTCTAATACCTGGTTAGTTTATCGTCTCAAGAGGCACATCACCTGATTTTTGTTTCAGAAGGCATTTTAATCCCATTTGCCGAGGCAAATTTATACTCGGAGCCACAACCTGCAACATAATAAGGCTTTTTAACATCATGTGCAAATCCCACAGGAATATGCCTGTTCTTTATGATGTTCTAAGTGCTTTACTTTGTCACAATGATAAAGCCAAACTAAAACACAACTTATGAAGGATGAAATATCCATGAATTGAGCAGTTATTGTAGTTTATCATTCATTATTTCTGCATAAATATGATTACTCAGTGCACTGGTTCATGTGTTTGTCTCTGGATGGGAATGGATCTTATTGCTCTTATGGTCGCTCAAAACTATTTAAGCAGGCAGAGGTTGTTTTTTTTTTATACTTTTCATCTTTAAGACTCATTGGCTAACAATTTAACGCTGAGACTGTACAGATGTGGGATGTTTAAGTCAGAATATTTCTATTTTCACCCCTACTTCCCTGTGACAACAGTGATATATATTTGAAACGCTGAAGAAGGGGTTATAAAAAATGTTTCTGTGCAACCAAAACATTTTGCCACATCGTGATGATAAATATTTATACAGTTTCATCATGCTGCAATAAATCAGCCGCCACAGATTTACATAACAGTCCTGGACCCTCATAATCTGTCCCGTTTTGCCAGTCTGTCAAGGTTTTCACTGCCTTCTGCTCTGGAGCGCTCCACAAATGGCTAGAATACGCTGCATATTTGAAGATTGTATAAAGAGTAGCTTTGTTTTTTTTTTTTTTTTTTTCAGTGGCACTGATTCTAAAGTAATTCACAGCAACAAAACCTTGTGCTTACCCAGTCTCAAGGTGAGGTTATCCTATGTCGATCAACCTCATTTCACATTATTCACTTTGCATAGACTGCCGATCTTGTGACTAATACCGTGCTGACAAACAGAATGAGATTTCTCTCTGTGTCGCGTGTAGAAACAGAAAACTTAGAAAAGTCAGAATTCATCATAAGAATATTTACATGCTTAAGAGCATATCTGTCTTCATCTATGTTAATATACGTATTCTTCCCTTGTAGCAGTCGAGTTTGTGGGATTTATGTGAAATTTTAATGCTTTTAATGTTTTCTAAAGTGCCTTGCAAAAGTATTCATAATCTTTGAACTTTTTCATATCTTGTCACATTACAACCATAACCTTCAATGTATTTTGTTGGACCTTTCTGTGAAAGACCAACAAAAGGTACCACTTGATGATTCCTTCCATGGAAAAGTTATCTTTTTCTTGTCAAATAAAAATGTACTTTTCTATTAAACTTCTTTCAATCTGATACTCCTAAAACGAAGTTGAGTGCAACCAGCTATTTTCCAGAAATACCTGATTAGTAATTTGAGTGCCCCTGTGTGTAATTTTATCTTTGCGTAAAAACACATATTTTATGAATGGCTCGGGGGACATTAGAGATCAAACAGCATCATGAAGACCAAGGAACACAGAAAACAGGTCAGGGATGAAAATCTAAAGAAGCTTAGGAAAGATTATAAAACAAAAATCACAACCTTTGGATATCTTACAGATCAAAGGTCATCTGAAAATGGAAATAGTACGCCACAACAGTAAATTCACCAAGACATAGTTGTCCACTTAAACTGAGAGACTGGGCAAGAAGATCATTAATAAAAAAAGTAGATGAGAGGCACAAGATAATTTTAGATCAGCTGCAGAAAAGCATAAGTCCGGCAGGAGACTCTGTTAAGAGGACAGATTTTATTTGCCCACTCTACAAATCCGACCTTTATGGAAAAGTAACAAGAAGGAAGTCATTGTTGAAACCAAACTAAAATAAGTTCTTTTTGCAGTTTACCACAGACCAAAGCTATTTGGGCTCTGCGCAAAATGCTGAATGGTGCAAAAGTAACACTCATCATCTTGAAAATATCAGTGCTACTACAGTGAAAAATAAATGTGTCAGAATCATGACACAATCAGAGATGTTTTTCTTCAAAAGGACTTGGGAATCTGGTCAGACTTTATGAGACGGATCGAGGTAAAGAGGAATCGTGAAAGAAAACCTGTAACGTGGAACGTCGGACTGAAATTCACATCCCAGCAGAATAATAAACCCATAAGCCCAGAGGTAGAATGGAATGACATTGATCAAAGCCTATTAATGTATGATAATGTCCTCATGGAAATCTACACCTTAATCCAATTGGGATTAAATACTTGAAAAATTCTACTCAAAGATCTCAGTGTATGGATGTATGAACCAGATAGAGAAATACCCCACGTTTGTTTTTTTTTATTTGTAAAAAAAAATATATTAAAAAAAATAAATAAAACCATTTACTTCACAATGATACACTACATTGTATTAATGTATCGAGCCAAAATTCTAATAACATACATATTTTGTGGTTGTAACACCACAAAATATAGAAAAATTCAAAGGACTGGAAAACTTTTAAAAGGCACTTTGTCATTATAAATGCGCTTTTTATATTTTCTATTTTCCACCACTGAAAAACTATGTCTTTCAATTGTTTCACTTGCAACATACACTAACTAGTGTGAGGCTTCAGTGAAGCGCAAACACCTACAGACGGCAGAATGACAGTAAAACATTAGAAACCGTGTCAAACTCAGTGACATAAACCTGGAGAAACATTCTGCATTTCCAAGCATTACCAGTGTATTTTATGGACGGAGAAAGTTGAAATGCCCTGAAACACAATCCCTTACCGGTGGTTTTGATGCCACCTCTGTGCTTGTTATATTCATGTGAGCCTTGTATGAGAGCAAACTGGAAGTTGCTCCGAATGCACCGTGTGAAGGAGAAAAATAAAGTGAAATGCACATTGAACCACAGGGACAGAACAAAAGTAGACAAAGTGCAAAATATCTGTAATGAATGTTTCACTGTCGGAGTGCTGTACTTTTCCTCCTATGAATTTTAGTCTTTACCAACAAGCGCACTCTTTCCAGCTCTTTGCAGTCAGTCTCACACTATAGAGTCTTTAATCTCAGAGCCTAGTCTGACTCGAGGCCGCGGGCATGAGGGAGAAATCTCTACATGGCTCTCTTTTAAGTTCAGAGGCCTCTTTTCTGACTCTGAGAAGCTCTTGGTGTTGTCGGGCGAGGAGCACTCATGAGGCGGAGTGCTGCAAAGGTAGTTGTCATTAAGGGTCTGGTACCCTTTGTGATCCGACGCCGACGTTGTGACAGTGCTGCCGTTTAGCGGTAAATTCTCAACGGGTTTCCCCACTATTCGGGGCTTCTTCTGCTGCATATTGGGGCACTCCCCCTCCTTCAGCATGGATTTCATGTGGTCACGGTTCCTGTAGATCACGAACAGAGAGAAGACCACCACGGAAAATCCCAGGAGAGCGCACACAACAATCAGCTCATTCCAGTAGGTCTTGGTGTTTATCTGCGGAGAGAGGGTTTCCCCTGGCAGAAAAATGACTTCCTCTTGGGAAAGCGGTGGCGCACGGGAACGGCCCGTCAAAGTGGTGCTCTCCTGCCTGGCTTCGCCCCTCACGCAGTAGTTTGCCAGCAACTCCATGAAGCCTTCCTCCACTGACCAGCACTCGTAGGTTTCCTGCCTGCCGGCCTGAGCGACCACCACCAGTCCCCCCTCTGGGCTGGGGTAATGGAAGTGACCTGTGCCTTCGCTGAATTGCCACTTTCTCTCAGCCAAATTGGAGCGCAGCTTGCATGGCAGTACTTTGAAAGTGTTGGCCGGGATTATGATTGCCTGGCATGAAGATGTTCCTGTGTGAAGGCAAAGCAGAAAAAAAGATGTAGCAAGCTGTGCTATCTGAATAATAATTGACTTGACACAATAAGTTGACAGCTTTTAGAGGAGCAGTTCACCTACGTGTTGGAGGATGATTAGCAACCCGTGGGCTTGGCTTCCTGCAAATGACTGATGTATTTGCTTCATCTACATCCTGCTGCTGAGCACTGAAACACATGCATCAAATCATTAGGGTTTGTGTTTGCATCATCTAATATTTGCGCTTCACACTGGGTTTTAGCCAGAATATTGTGCAGAGCGGCTCGTACTTGCTTGCAGGAGCCCGTCTGATGTCTACGCACTGCCCCTTGTTCCAGACACAGTATGGATCCCTGGAAAGGATGCACTCCCCACAGCTCTGATAATTAGTGCAGTTAGCTAGTGGAACCTCCACAAGCTCAGAGAGAGATGAAACATAAAGCCGACCCTGGAGAAGACAGGACAAGTCAGGAGGCATTAGACAAATGTCTGTGTGACCTTTTTTTTATTGATTTCCATATCCACTCCTGATGTAATCATTCTGTAGAATTTTTTTTCTTTTTTTAACCATTTTAAATTCATTTACCCTGATTTCAGAAATGGAAGTTTATGTATGCTGACATTCAGGAAGTGTAACACATCCACGTCTAGTAAACTGTTTGCAGATCCCACTAAGAAAATTATACATTTGCTTTGAAGCTCTTTACCACTGGGGACATTTTTGAAAAACTTTTTTAAGACTGTTTAAGCTGCATAATGAGAAAGCTTTAGAGATAGATTCAACATGCTTCTTTCCAAGCAGCTCTCCTTACCTTCTTGGTGTCCAGCTCAATTTGGTGCACCGGTTTAGAGTCACGAAAGATCACTATCTCTTCAATAATGTGCATCTTGTTTTTGATGTTAATGGCCTTATGGAGTCTTCCGTCATCTAGAAAACACATAGGTTAGCTTAAAGTCATGTTAAAGGGAACATCTTACAATTCAGAGCCAGAAAACAGACCCCCTGCATTAATCATAAATACATAACAACCATTCTTTCCATTGTTTCTCAAGTCATAGGGACAATTAAAAATCATCTTCTTTTACAGCAAGCACTTTTAAAGTCATGGTACTCTAAATTGGAAACACCGCCACAATATAGGGGTGATGATTTTGCATATTTAATATAAAGAGTAAAAATGATGGACTGAAAACAATCTGACAAACCTGAAAAGAAAATGCTCAAATTGTAACACATGCCATTAGAGACGACACATATTTTTGTCTTTAAAAGGCGTGCTTGAAAGCACCGCCTTTAATATTGGTGGAAAGTGCCTTACCTGTGCCAATGAAAAGAACATTGTAGACCTTTTTAGCTGTCTGGACTCCATGGACTACAATCTGCGTGTAGCGTACGTTGCGCTTCAGCAGGAGAGGCTGGCTGCGAATCACGCTGTCCATCAGGAAGTGGTCTTTGACAAAATTCAGCACCTTGTCTGGCATGTGCAGCGAGGAAGAGATTCCCAGCCCTTTGGTAGCATTTGTAATACACTATGGAGGCAACAAAACACGTGATCTTATTTACATATTCTATCACACTTGATATAAAAGACAAACAGTGGTTTGGTAGAATCTTTATCAAATAGCAGTCTGGCCATTAATCATTAAGATCATAACTGATGTGCAGACCACAGCACGTCTGTCTTGCAACTGACATGACTCTGTTGTGTGTTGATGCTAATATGTGTTCAGGTTCTCCAGCAGAGGGCAGCAAATATGTACTCACAGCTCCAGGCCGAGGCTCCGGGACAGGATGGTTGTACGTGTACCACTGCTGGGTCTCTCTGTTGACCTCGCGGTAGCGCCCATTGAAAGCCTTTTCCACTTGGTCCATGGTGAACGAACAGACTGCAGAGCTTCCTGACGCACCTTTATACCTTAGTGACAAAAAAAGTTTTGTAAAAATCTAAAAATATTAGAAATTGCCCTTAAGATTCCACAAAAAGTGTAGGTTTCTAGCAGGAATATTCCCAGAAGTAGTACACACAGTTCTCTCTCATACAGCATCAAATTCTGAGTCCATGTAGAGTTATCTCTAATTTGAACTCATACTACTACTATACTCCCTACGTATTACACTTGTCAGATTTAGATGTCTTATTTCTGTTTTGAAATGTCTTTTACATACTGCAAATATTTTTTGCTAAATTTTGTTGGTATGGTGTTCTAAACATTTATCCTCACCACTGAGATGTGAAGACTCCATAAAACAGAGTGCTCTTCCAGTCTCCAGGACTCGGCGTGAGAACAAACATGTCTTGGATTATGTTGAAGGGAAAACCGTCATCAGGCAGCGAGCACAGGAGCTGGGCCTTTAAGAAAGTGGTCCACTTCTTCTGCAACACCCTCTCGCCTCCGATGTCGCCCTACAAGACAAATGCTGGAGGTTAAAAGTCTTTTTGACTTTTAACCTTTGACTTTTGTTGACACCAGTAAAGGGTGTAATAGCATAAGTGAAAGTTCCTGAACACCTGTATGGAACATGCAATATTGTTAACATGTCATTTCATTTTCTTTTTATTTGCCCTCTTCTTTCTGAAAGCATAGACAGAGTGTGTTTGGTCCAAAGTTGGATCTGATTAACCAGAGAAGAAGGAAAAATATTAACCCCTTATGGGCTCAATCAGCTTTGCCTCCCACAGAGATTTACCCCAAGGCAGAACGCTTCTAGGTCATGAAAACAAACTACATCATCTTAACAGGCATAGATAAAACAACACTTGGGCCTCTGAAGAGGGCAAGTGCTTCTAAGAGAAAAAGAGAAATAAACAATGCCCCCCAACAACCTCTCTTCCCTGACATGGCCCCTCTGATTTGCTGCCCTTGGCATAATCCTTTATTGTGCCATGAGTGACACAGGATCTTGTTGACATGAGAGCTAATTTAGCAAATACATTGCTGAGAGACAGGAGTGGAAGTTTGATGTCTCATCTGATGGATTTAAGACTCAGATGCGAGTGTTCCCACATATCCAACACGATGAAAGGGTGATGATCAGAAGCCGGAAAAGACAAAACAACAACACCTGAATGATCTAAATGACCTAAAACCTTGGTTAGGTGCACCCTCCTAGGAGACTACTGGAGCCCTGCTGGGGATGAAATGATCCATAACAAATACTGAAGCAATGACTGTGGTTATTGCAGTAACCCAGGCAGATAATAGGGAACATGCATCCCCATGTTTTATAATTTAAAGCTACCGTGATCTTAAACTGACTGCTAAATAATTGAAGCAAATGCATTCCATTCATTAATCCTCTTGTAAAAGCATCCCTTGTTCGAAAGGCAGCTCATGGACAGGCCTGCCGGCAAAGGCAGCTTTATGGGAAACTGAGCAAATCACGCAAATGAGAACACACTTTGTTTTGTTTGTTCCCGGCAAAACATTGTTTATCCAGGTTAGCCCCGATGATGCAGAGCTAAAGCAGCAAACACCTGAACATGCATAATGACAGAGAAAGCAGCCTCTGCAGAGATTTGAACTGGCTTTAGGGAGATAACAGAAACAAAGCGCAGATTTTACTATTTTATTTGAACCATTTGTAGCCGATTATACCAGCTTTTGTTTTTCTTGTGGCTTACATTCTACACTTAAGGATTGTGGAAATTCCCTTATGGGTAATCCGTACCAGGAAACTTTAAGATGAGTTCCTCATTTTACAATTTCTGAGAAAACTACATGAGTGAGTGATTACTTGATTCTGGTAAATGGAGCCTTTAAACTGAATGTTTGGAAAACTTAAGTAAATAGTTGAATAATGAGTTTAAACCTTCTGGGCGATGCCTGGTGTAGATTAATGCCGAGGAGCTGAACTTTGTCTAACATCAGTTCAGTCTGTAAGCTTGAATTAGTCATGTTAAATCCCCCAAAGAAATACAAAACATTTATAGAAGTTTAGTATGTTTCAGTGTATCTTAACATACTTACATGAACACTCCTAATTTGACTTATTTATTTTATAATCTGTAAAAAAAAAATCCTTCCTAAGAAATACTTTTATCTTTCTGTGTCCATCATATATCTAAATAATTTATTTATTAATTCATTTATTTATTAATGATAACAACATGAGATGGAGGACTGATTAAAAAATTAATTCTTCTCAAATTCTACAGAGTATAACAATTGGGGAATGTGTTAAAGTTTGCTGAATAAGAAATTAACAATACGTTTTCTAGGTTGGTCAAATGCTTTTTTTTAATTAATTTTTTTACTGCTTGTTCAGAGTGCCAAAGAAAAGCCTTCAAAGGCCTTCATAACTGCCAAACAGTTTGGGCAGAGGGACAGAGAAAAGAACACCAAGTCTGGTGCTGCTTCTTTGGCTTGCAGGATGTTTAGGCAGTGATATGAACGGGGAAAAAAACCCCAAAACAAAACAAAACAAAAAAAAACAACTTTAAAAGATACTTTTTTTAACACTTTTAAAGAAAAGCAAAATTCTGACAAATGTATCAAAGCGATACACCACAATATATATACAATATATATATATATATATATATATATATATATATATATATATATATATATATATATATATATATATATATCCGTCTAGTCTAGCAAACTCATCAGGGCTTGCTCTGACTCAACTGGAGTTTCCCACTGGTTCTTCTTCACGGGTTGTGTTTGAGTCTCTCAACACAGCTGGCAGTTTCCGACCAGAAAACCAGCCAATCAGATGAGGACGTCGTCAGACATGCAGCCAGTGTTGGTGAACAATTAGGAAATATATTTTAGATAAGTAATGTTTCCTTGCATGTCTTTTAAACTTAGGGAGGACCAAAGACTGTAAATAAACGTTCATGTAGATGAATCACTTTCTCCTGGCTGGAGTTGCTTCTTTTTTCAAGTTCAGATGATATAATTATTCCACTGAATGAAAGGACAGTCCAAATATGGTTTAACAAATTAACCATTCAATTTATGGATAATTCATATGAAAAATACTTTGACACATCTTAATAGACAGTCATGTTGATGCATTGGAGAAGGTGTAGGAGGGAAACAGTGTAGTATAAGAGGTTACATCTAAATCTAAAAAGTCTGTGAATAACATTTTCATGGTATTTGTAGAAATATTACTGTGTGAAAGGTCGCCATACATTTGTCTGAGCTGCAATGATAATATGAGTATTTCAGAAGCATGTAAATACTTGCCGTCTTTAACAAATATTTTGTAAGGTCAACATTCCACAGCTGATAAACTCAAATACTACAACTGAAGCCGCTGTGTCTGTTTACTGAATCCAGATCCGAAGACAAACATTTGTTCCTTGGGAATTTAAAGATGAGATTTCGAAAAAAAAAATAATAATAAATAAATAAAATCAAACAAAGCAGACAGATGGAAGGGACATGTTTTCCCTATATCACCACCCAGTCAGTAGGAGTGGAAGCCACACAAGATGTATTTAAGCTGAAAAGCAGCTTTACAAAGATGATGCCTGTACATTTAGAGGGAGACTGAGAACAAATACATGAAACAGACAAACAAGCCCTCGCCTCCATCGGGTTCGATATAATCCTAAAGCGACTGCAGGGCTAGATGTTGCTTGAGGATATAAAAGCATCCTCAGATGGAAATATCTGCCCTGTAGTATCACTCACCTTACACACGCGAGCGATGCGTGACACGACAGTGTTGTCAAAGAAATCAAACTCCTTCCCTGCTTCACTGAAGAAGAAGTAAATCTTATCGTCATCGCCCACAAGGTTGCCCTTGGGCAGGCTCTCCTGTATGTAAGCTGAGCCAACAAAGGCTGGGTCTGAAAGGAAAGTAACAATACCGTCACACTGGGATCTGGGAACATACATCCTCACTGCTGAGTGAAATCCACATCCAGCAGGGACAGAAGATGGTTTCCCATTGTAGACTGATCACGCAGCATTTCTGGCACTCTGTTTTAAAGCTGAGTATTTATCCATTGTACAATAGAAATGTTATCACTTGAGAGATATGATGAAAAGCATTGCTTCACAGCTACACCAACGTACCTTGAAGCCAGTTGAGAGAGTTTTCGGTTTTCAGAGCAGTTCCCTGGCTCAAGCTTTTGTAGATTATGGGTTCATTTCCTTGGAAATTACTGACTGTGCCGGCATACAGCTCCCCATCTGCAATGCAGACAAGAATGATCACAATGTTTCTCCAAAAGAAAAAAAATGTTTCTGCGTCGCATAGTAATGAAATCCAGAGAATATCTTACAGTTTTTATCGCTGACATCACCGAATGTGCATCTTGAAACTTTTAACAAAGCTTGGTGGTTATCAACCCCTTACTCCCAAATTTCTAAGTTGTGAAACACATTTTTTCCAAACTAGCATCCCTTTAAGGATATGTTTGTGTCATTCCATCTTCAAAAACACACCTAGAGCAATATATATATATGGTTTCTGCTGGGTAACACAACCAGTGTGTGGTCTTCAATTTGTATAAACCTACCAGCCATGATGGCAGTGGACTTGTAGTCTGGGTTGAATGGGCAGCGGCTGCGTCCGTCCTCTGTAACAATCTCACCAGCATCACTTTTGACAAACGAGAAGTCCGCAGTCCTCTGAGGGGCAAGCACACATACACACGGCACATGTGATAAGCGAATTGGAAAGGCGAAGCTCTAAGTTGACAGTAACCTCTCAGTCAGATTTTGCTTTAAAAGGTGGTCAGTCTTTGGCCAAAGTTGAAGTGCAGGTCAGTAATGTTTGTTTGTTCTGGCTTGTTCTAAAAGGCACTAAAAGATCTGAAGAAAATGTATAAAAACCAGATCGATTCTTATGTAAACTGATTACATGCATTATATATTTTCATCTTATCCCCGTGGACATCCAAGCTAATAAAATAATGCACGCATATTGTATCTGACTGGTCTGCACGTCTCACTCAGACAGACTGCTGAGCGAGTGGAGAGGCAGGAAGTGGGATGCATCAGATTTGAGATGATGTTCCACTAAAATCAAATAAATGAATCCCATGCAAAGTCCTGTATCTGACTAATCACCTTTTATGAGGGAAGACAAACATTATCGCCGTCTAAGTCTTAAAGAAATGCAGAAGCAAGGCTACTGCACAGATGGGATATCTTTGAAAGGGTGGAAACTTACAATGTAGGCACACATTGGGCTGAAGGCGTACGTCCCGCATATGTACAGATGAGTGCTGTTCATTTTCAGTAAAATCTTTATGTAGTTGAAGCAGTCCCTCTGTTTTAAAAAGACAAAGAAGGGTTTATTATAAATTTTCCAGCTGCTATACAAGTAAAAAGCAACAATGTATATTATATTAAATTATATTATATAATATAGAGGTTAGAGAAAAAGGCGCAAAGTTTAAAATAAAGATCAAATGTTTTGTTTTTGCACAGTAATTTGAACTCCCCCCATTTACACAAGCTCCATTTCCCTTTGCTAACATGCTCCAGTGTCAAAGGTTCAGATCTAAAGTAAAGAAGTTTAACAAAAGCGCAATAAAACAGTGTGTTTGAAAAGGAAGGGAAAAACCCCATTGTTATGAGAAGGAAAGTTCCAAGATGACAGGAAATGTCCGGGTTTCTGTCTTGGCCTGGGCTTGGTTCCCAAATGTCATTCAGCAGCAGTGAGGGCTAAAGTTCAGTAAATAATGTTTGAGCCATGTGAGTTCAGCTATGTGCACTTCAAACCAACAGTTGACTCGCCTGAAGATCTTTGCCTTTGAAACTGCACTCGTCTCTCTTCCTCTCTGGAGTTTTCCACGTGAGCTGCAGGAAAAAAAAAATAAAAAAAATGCTGTGTTATTTAAACTATATCTTTATCACTGTGAAGCATAACATTCCGCTTGCTCTCTTGTGATCACTTAATCCCTATTGCCAAATTTCCTCCTTACATGAGGGATTCAAGGAGCTACATTCATATTTATATGCTTAACATCACAGTGCAGTTTAAAGGTTGCAGCACGCAGGCTCTTACATTTCTTTGTAGTTTCGCTGCACTGATATCAGAGAGGTTGAGAGCAAACAGAATCTCCCGGGCACCGATATACAGCATGTTGTCTTCACTGCTGAGCAGGAGGGAGGTGAAGTTGAAGACCCCGTTGGCTGAAAAGCTTCTGGTTGTCCTTTCCTTTGCGTCTGGCCAGAAACAGAAAGGTGGTCATTGTAAGTAATATTAATTGGATTTTCTTCAGTCATCATATGTAAATGCATTATGTGGAATCATCACTATGAACAAATCAACAGGCTACATATATGATTTGACATCTGGTATAGCAGTAAGAGCTACCCTTTAAAATAGCAGGGAAGCATAAAACAACTACAGCTTAAACATTCAAAAATAGGTTTTGTGAACAATTATTCAAAAATAAAAATAAAATACATGATTGGTTCAGGACACAATTTTACTCCAATTGTAGAAAAAACATCTCCTCTTGTGAATTTTGATTCTGAAAGTAGTATCAAATTCAATTAATTACAAAATATTTAGTTCTGAGAATAATGTCAATCATTACTTTGGTATAAAGGGTGAATTATTTACAACTGTAAGTATACAAAAAAAATATTTATAGCAATGTCTTCTTATGCACTAGTGGTGGCGGTTAATGTCCTTATGTACCGATGGCAAAGCATCTGCATTGTAACTTATACACTTATGCAGTGATGAATATTTGAGTTCAAACCCAGAGCAATAACACAAAAAGCAATAAAAATTACCACTACAACATTATCCCGTAAAGTAGTTAGTTACCAAGGAGACCGATGGTGGATAAATATGATGGAGTAACATTGCTGACCATGGAGTAAATTAGAATGGAATAGAAACACCCTGGGGGTAAATTATCGTATGAAATAATATCAAATTAATTCCTTGCATTTGTTTAACTACCACAATAGTTTTTTGGGGAAAAAAAACAAACAAACAGATATTTCCTGACAGATTCACATCAAGTCAGGAAATAAATGTTATTATGTGTATCGTTTTTTTTTTTTTTCATGCAGGACATAAAGACTCATGCATCTGTTACAGTTAAACAGTGTTACTGCCTAAGTGGTCATGATTCAATAAAGAGACAAAGGTTGAATCATCAGCTCCCTAAATCTCTCCTGCTGATGATTTATTAGCCCACGTGTTTCTTGGATTTACGGCCCATCAGCACAGGCTCAGCTTGAACGAGTTGCCTTAATTGCATGCCAACGTAAACAGAGCGTGGGAGCTGATGGAAACTTGAAGGGACTGAACCTCTGCCCCTAAAAGTATGACAACTGAAGGAAAAATAACATATCAAAGAGCTTTAAAAAAAAAAAAAAAAAACACTTAAGAAGATCCTTTTGGATTGTTCGCTTCTAATGGGATTTTGCTTGAAATGAAGAGTCTGATTCAACTTTCAGCTACTGCTTTAAGGGACTGAGGTGAGGTGAGGTGAAAAGTAGGCACTTAACGTCATGTTTCACTCCTAATATGAGCCTTAAACTGTTTGTCTTATAAAGGGATACTGATTTAATTCAAAACATAACTTAATGGAATAAGCACATGCGGAAAAAAAAAAAAAAAAAAAAAAAAGACAGGGATGCATTATAGTGCAGAATCCAATTCAGTTGTGTTTTATCTATGTTGGTATCAGAGTAGATTGAACCCCAGATGCTGCTGGCAACAATTTAAGATACTTTTTTCTATGTTTAACCAACTCACTCCAGGAAGAGTCTTTAAGTTCTACTCATAAGAAGCTCAACCACCCTGCAGTATGTGTGTCCTAATTTAACCGCGTCTTGGTTCTACAGCAGGTTGAAAGACTTCCTCTCCTCCGGGAAAACAACATGTTAATAGGAGTCCATCGCCACGGCAACACTGAGCCATATTGTAGTTAAATCTGTCTGTGAATCCACAAGAGGCAATGCTCCACGTACATGTACCCACAGGGGGCTTTTCAGTAGCACTACAGGATAAATGAACGGCTGCTCCGTTGTATTCTGCAACTCGTTTTGTTTCCTTTATCACGAACATGAGCATAAAATGATTCTGTTTTTTCTTTTACTCAAAAATAACTTCAGAGTTGTTTTCTGCAATGAGATCAATTCTGGCAAACTGGAACACCACAGCTGTGAAAGAAAACCAACTTAGACAATTACATATTTATATATTGGGTTGTTTTGTAAATAAAAAAAATATATACTTTTATGACTTTATTAAAGTAAATAATCTTTTGCAGTGAAGCATTTTACACATTTTGCATTATTTTAATAAAAGATTGTGGGAGAACTGAAAAAAGAAAGCAATGATTAAGTTCAACCATCTAAATTTAAGTTGTAGGTTAAATTGAGGCTAGGCTATCAACGGAGATAAGAAAAAAACAAAAACAAAACACAAATTTGGTAAGTTATTTTAAAACTGCTTTAAATACAGGCCAAAAAATGTCAGATGACATGCAAGTATGCTAATGAGCAAAATTGTTTTTTTTTTTTAGTTACACTTATTTATTTATTCTTGTGTTTTATAATGCCACTAATGTCATAGCACGTCACACTCCAGATCCTACCTTTTTTGTACAAAAAGTGGACTTAAAGAAAATGATCTTTAATGCTATCTTAAAGATTATTATTTATTATTATTATTATTATTATTATAAAGTTATTTTCAAAAGCTACTTCTAATCTGACAAATAAGCTGACAGTGCTGTAAAACACATTAAATTCTGTAACGTCTTTTGGTTTTGGTCTGTCACTGCAAGATTAGTTAAACATTTACAGGAGACATAAGGCAGTGGTGGCTTTTATAAATCTAATGACAAAAAGTGGTTCTGATCCTTCTGAATCAAAAAGACTTTATCTTCCAAATTATTTCACTCTGTCTCAAATTCAAGATGGAATACAAACTTTTGCAAAAGCTCTCTTAATTTTGTTCACAGGACCAACAGTGAAGAACAGAAACATGGTTTTTGAAGTAACTCATTAGTCAGCCCATGACCAGACCGGTTTCCCTTCTAATGAGCAAAGTTAACAAGTGGATTGAACTTCTTAAAAGGAATCTAAGACTAAATGTTTGACCGTCTGAGCTCCTTTTCCTGGCGGCATTTCTGCACAACACAATCTGAGGTGCTCAGCAGATGAAGGGAAACATTAGAGTCAAATGGAGGCACTTATGAATATAAGGACAGCTTGTATCTGTGATAGAGAACCAAATAAAGCAGATGCAAACATCAGGCCATTACTGACGAGGTACACCAGTATTACTGCAATCTGTCTAAATTACTAACCTTGTTTGTTCTTTTAAGAGCCAAACTGCCTTACAAGGAATTTAGTTTTCAGTTCAGAGATTTGTTTTTATGTGAACCAAAAAAACAACAACAACATTTTATACTAAATCATTGTCAAAATTTATGCTAAGTAAGTAAGGCAATAAAAACTATGTCAAAATTGCACAATCTTTTTAGCACAAATGTATTCCCGTAGCGTGCAAACTCCTCAACAAAATTCCTTGTTTTTCTATAAGATATGACAGATTTTTTAGATCTTACTGGCAAGTAGAAGAAAATGAGGGAATTTTGTTTTGTAGGAGAGATACTGAAAGTTTATCTACAAAAACAACTTGGAAAAACAACAACAACTACCTGCACTTTAGGAACAGTGACTTTGTTGACTTGTACTTTGTCCAGATCAAGCTTGCTGATTATTCTTGGACAGTTTCTGCTCAAAACAGGTTTCCAGCAGTAAGTTTGTCAAATAAAAATAAATCAGTTACAAAGAAATTTGAATATTATTCGAATTTATACTGAAAACATCTCAAAACCTTACTGGAAGATGATCATGTAGATTATAAATTTATAGTTAAGTTCTAATGTGTGTTTTTTCAAACAATTTAGATTTTCTTTCTCCTTTAACTAAAAGCAATCTATATTACAATTCCTTGTGTTTATTGAGTATTTATTTTAAAAGCAGCTAATGTCAAGTACTGAATATACAGTGACTATCTTTAGCTGTTTTTCCTTTAACAACTGAACACCGAAGAGATTTGTGACTAATGCAACCTAGTGCTGCTTGCATTTGATACATCAACTGAACAGAAATAAATATTGAATTATTATTTTTCTGATTGGCTAATCAGTAGTTTACTGATCGACAAGAAAAAAAATCACCCTATTCCCATCTCTGTCTAATTTCTGTGGTTTATGCAGCTGGTTTTGTATGTTTTTCATTGTATCTTCTTAGTCTAAATGCTAAATTAGTAAAGCCTAAAAACAAAGGATCTTTGTTTTCTAATAATTGTGCTCTACTGATGTGAACAATAAGCAGAAAGTGATCAGACAGATGACATCTATCCAGTGGCAACTGAATAAATTATACCAACACATTGGTAGGCAGAGCTGGAGGCTTTACATCTCATCATGTCGCTGATAGTAGACCTCTGATGATGGACTTTGTGAGAGCAGCTTTGTGTGGTTATAGCACTTCATCTGTGACCTTTTCCCACCAAGCCATGAACTGCACACTCTGCAGCTGCAAGCAATAAAGCATCATAGCCATTATTATGTAATTAAAAGTAATTTCTACAAATGACTGTTAAATTTCCTGAAAACTGTCTTGGATGGACTTGAAAATCTTTTTTCAGAACAGATTATTATAAAGTTTAAGGGAGTCCCATTCGATTCTATTTGGTCAGCTTTGATTTGCTTTGTGTATGAATTGTACTGTACAAATTACTTGCTTTAGCATTCTAATAATCAGTGTCTTGGGTGCCATTAACTGTGGCAAACATAATTGTGAACTACAACACAATAGGTCTATTTGTACTGGGAAAAGATGGTTTTATAGATTTAGTTCGTAAAACTCAGGCTACATTGAAGCAGAAGTGAACATTTGCAGGATTTATTGAATGTGGAACATCTTTGAAAGGAAGTGTGTTCTGTCCTTTACTGATAGTGAGCTAAAGACTTTCTTTTTTAGAGTCAGAACTGTATCTGACTAAATGGTGCCTTTTGTTATTTCTATATCAGCTCGTTTACAAGTGAGTTCAGCAGAACATTACCACACACAAAGACAAGCTTGATTTGATTTGATTTGAATATCACTAATAATATCACAAATCATTTTTTTTTACCACTAGGAATATGCTTATTGCATAATAATTGTAATTCACAATA